GGCGGCCCGCACTGCCGGCGGCCCCGGCGTCGGCGAGGCCTGGCGCGGCCCCTGCAGCGGCAGCGCCTTGCCCAGGGGCGCCGGGGCCCGCCAGCGCAGCAGCGAGCCCGGCGTGCCCGGCGGCTCCGGCCGCCAGGGCCGCGCCAGCGGCGGCGGCGGGAGCTGCAGCCGGCGGGGGGGCGGCCAGCGCGGCCGCTCCAGGGGCGGGCGCGCCGGCAGCCGCCGGCGGGACGTGCGCGCCGCCACCGCCGGGGGGGCGGGCGCCCAGGAGCGCAGCCAGGCCGCCAGCCGCTCCAGCGCCGACTCCCAGCACGGGCGCGCCGCCACCAGCCGGGGGCGCGGCGGCCTGGCCTGCGGGCGGGACCACCGCTCCGTGGGCGCCGGCAGCGCCTGGGCCGGCCGCGGCGGCGAGCTGCCCGTCGTGCTCGCGGACGAGACCCTCGGCCCTCGGGACGAGGTTGAAAAACTCCTGGGCTGTGAGCGGCCGCTGGAAGTCGTACAGCGCCACCCCGCCCAGTCCTGCCGGCACTGCCCCGCCGGGTCCGCATCGATACCAGGCGGCGATGTCGTCGTTGTCGTCCGTGAAGTGCTCGATGAACAGGTCGAAGTCGGGCGAGACCACGGCGGCGTGCAGCGGCTGCACCTGGCTGACGCGGACAACAATACGGCGATGGAGCAGAGGAGCGCCAGGAACGTCGTAGCAGACCAGCAGCTCATCGCCGACATTCATCAGGCAGCCACCAGCCTACCCTTGCCACCTGGAAAGCGTCGATCCACCTGGGCGGACGGGCTGCCGTCCTCCAGAGCCGCGGGCGCCGCTGGGGGCCCAGCCGCCCGCGCGCCTGAGAGCAGGCGCCGCACCTGCCTGCGCAGCGCAGCCCAGCAAGTAGTGACGGCCTCCCAGAGCAGGAGGGTGAAGAACCCGACGCCGAACTCGATGCCCCACTTGAAGCCACCCTCCTCCGGCTTGGGGCAGGCCGGGCAGGGATCTGGGCAAACCTCCCAGGACGGGAGCGGCGCCGCCGGCAGACACCGGGCGATCTCCGCGCAGAGGTCTGAGACCTGCGCGGAGGCAGGCGGCGCGGCCGCCGGGCAGGTCCGCGCGGGCGGAGCGGGCGCCGGTGCCGCCCGCGGCGGCTCCGGCACGGGCAGCGCCGCAGGCAGCGGCGCCCACCGCCGCGCCACCCAGGCGGCGAGGAGGTGGAAAGCGATCAGCCCTCCCCCGCGGGCAGCAGCGCGCATGCGGGCCCCGAAGGGGGCACGGCCACCTGAGGCCCTCACAGAAAAGGCTTGAGCCGGGGCGGTTTCGGAGAACCCGCGCGGCCTTCAACGCCCCAGCGATTATCGTTCGAGAACGGGCCATCATCATCATCATCATCATCATCATCATCATCATCATCATCATCATCATCATCATCATCATCATCATCATCATCATCATCATCATCATCATCATCATCATCATCATCATCACATCATCATCATCATCATCATCATCATCATCATCATCATCATCATCATCATCATCATCATCATCATCATCATCATCATCATCATCATCATCATCATCATCATCATCATCATCATCATCATCATTCATCATCATCATCATCATCATCATCATCATCATCATCATCATCATCATCATCATCATCATCATCAGCATCATCATCATCATCATCATCATCATCATCATCATCATCATCATCATCATCATCATCATCATCATCATCATCATCATCATCATCATCATCATCATCATCATCATCATCATCATCATCATCAATCATCATCATCATCATCATCATCAATCATCACATCATCATCATCATCATCATCATCATCATCATCATCATCATCATCATCCATCATCATCATCATCATCATCATCATCATCATCATCATCATCATCATCATCATCATCATCATCATCATCATCATCATCATCATCATCATCATCATCATCATCATCATCATCATCATCATCATCATCATCATCATCATCATCATCATCATCATCATCATCATCATCATCATCATCATCATCATCATCATCAGCTTCATCATCATCATCAACATCATTGTCATCCCGTTCCTTTCCGAGCGGCTTGACGGCACCCGCCCAGTCGGGGCGCCGCGGCCGGCTGGGCCGCCTGGCACGGCCCTCACATTTCGCGGGCGGCACCGAGTGTCTGCCGCGCACGCCCCCCCCCTTTGCAGCCAAGGTCATGGACGGTGACGCCTGGCGCCTTGCGGGAGGCGCCCGCCCTCCCTCCTCTCCCTGCGTCCCCCCCTCCCCTCCCGAGCGCGCGCGCGCGCGCGCCCGCGCGCCCTTTCTCCGAAGGGTGCCCGCGGCCCCCTGGGTCGCCTGCGTTAGCCGGTGGGCCAATTCCGCCACGGGCTCTCCCGCTTCTGCGGGCGGCCGCGGCGCACGCATGGGGCCGCGCCATCCCCGGGGCCGCCGGGGCGAGCGGGGCGCCCTCGCGCGGGAGCTGGGGGGGGCGTACCTCCTCCTCCTCCTCCTCCTCCTCCTCCTCCTCCTCCTCCTCCTCCTCCTCCTCCTCCTCCTCGTTTTGCTCATATTCCTCCTCCTCCTCCTCCGCCGCCGCCTCCGCTTCCTCCTAAGGAGGGCGGGGAGAGGAGGAGGTGGTGGAGGAGGAGGAGGAGAAGGAGGAGGAGAAGGAGGAGAAGGTATATCGGGATGGTGAGGAAGAGGGCGGAGAAGCAGCAGGAAGGATCCACAGAATGGCCCCATCGTGTGGTGCGCAAACAGAAAGGGAGGCCTTGTACATTGGATGAGGAGGTGGCCCATGATCAGGAGGCAGCGCAGGAGGAAGAGAACGAGGAAGGAGGAAAGAGGAAGGAGGACGGAGGAAGGAGGAGTGAGGAGGAGGAGGACGACGATGAGAAGCAGTAGCAGCAGGATCAGGAAGAACGGGAGGAGCAGGAGGACCACGGGAACGCGGAGGAGAGGAAAAGAGGGGGGCGACATTGACCAGGAAGAAATTGGATCCAGAAATGTGACCGGCGCTGGGGCGATAGCATCACTCTGCACGATGGGGGCAAAGCGCCGATCTTGGAACGAGGCCAACGCTGCAACGCGAGCACCATATGGAGGAAAAACGATCCGAACGACAAAACAACCAAACACGTGACATCTTGAAATCACGTGAGCCTTAGAACATATGCGGCAGGCCCCGCCCGGACAGGTTCCAGGGAGATAGGATAATTGTGCTCATATCCAGCTAGACGCTCGCGCCATGTCTGACATCCGACCCCTCCCACCTATCCCTTGGAATTGCGCTGATTTTTTCCTCTCTGCCCTAGGGTGTCCTAGCGGACTTGGACCCTGAAACTGGCCCCACCGCGAGATGCTCATTGAAGGAGAACTCTGTGCATTGGGGGGCGAATAGGAATGGGGATGACCAGCAGGAGGAGGAGAGGATGACGCACGGGGGCGGAGCAGCACCAGCAGCAGCAGCAGAAGGAGCGGGAAAGGCAGGAGGACCAGTGGGAGGCGGAGGAGGGGACAGGAGAGGGCCATAACCACCAGGAAGGAATCGGATGCAAAAGTGTGACCCGCGCCACGGCGACAGCGTGAGTCTGAACGACGGGGGCAAAGCGCCGATCCTGGAACCAGGCCAGCGCTGGAACTGGAGCGCTAACAGCACAAAAAAACGACAGCCAAAAAGCTCAGCATGCACAAACTCAAAGGCCCATGTATCAGAAGAAGTTGACAAAAGCATGAAACAGGAAGGCGTTGGAAGCAGACTGCGCTTCCGCCCGCCCCCAAAAGAGGAGGGAAGGGGGAAAGCACTCGATCACTGAAGCAGGAATGCGCTTGAAGTAGACTGGAACCCGAGGATACAAAAATGCCGATTCTCCACGACCGATGGGCAACGTAATACCCGAAATCCTGCGCGGCAGCAGGAGAATGTGGGAGAGCAGGGGCCCCTCTCGCACAGAGGCCGGGGGCGAATGGAGAGTCGAAGCAACATTCGGCAAACCTTGCGGGGTGTAGGGAGAGGGGGGCGCGGGAGCACGGAGAGGGAAGAACGGAGGAGCAAGAGGCGGAAGGAGAGGCGTGGGAAAGGAAAGAGAAGGCAGGGAGGAGGACATCATGGAACACGGGGACGAGAGGGACGAGGACGAAGGCGGGGAGCAAGGGGCAGGGAAGGGTGGAGGGAGGCCTTAGGAGAAGAGACGAGGGGGGATACATGAAGATAGAGAGAGAGAGGAAAAAACAAAAGAGAGAAAGGGAGAGAGAGAGAGAGAGAAACACAATAAAAAAGGAAGAGAGAGAGAGAGAGAGAAAAAAAAAAAAAAAAAAAAAAACCAGAGAGAGAGAGAGAGAGAACGAGAGAGAGAGAGAGAGAGTCCGTAGCCATTTTGGCTCAAGGCCATTAGGCACCCGACGACCGCGAGTCCGTCGCGGGCGTCTCCTGAACGCAAGGGGCATCGCGCTTTGGGCCAAGGTACGACAAAGCAAAGTGCATATGCTCGGCCGCGGCGCGCGGCTGCCATTCTCCTGCTCGCCTTGCTTGAGGCGCCTTCTCTCAGAAGGCGGCAGCCATGGCGGGCGGTGGCAAAGGGGGATCGCGCAGCGGCGGCGGCAGCGGCAAGCCAGGAGGCGGCGGAGGTGGGGGGGGGGCGCAGCCTGGGACCCGGCGCAGCAGCGCGGGCGAGCGGGAAGTCCCCCTGGCACTGCAAGACGCGCAGCGTGCCCGACGCCAAGGGCTTCAGGAAGCTCAACTTCGGGGACCGCTCGCTGTGCAAGCGGTGCAACTGTCCAAAGTCCTCGCGCTACGGGGGCAAGCCGATGGAGAGTGCGCCCTCCAAGTCGAATGAGAGCGTCAAGCTGGCGAAGGCGCTGGAGGGGCACAAGGCCACCTGGCAGCCACCGCGCAAGCGGCACGTGCGGCCCCCCTGCGCACAGGCTTGGGCAGCGGCGGCGGGATGGGCCAGGCACTTGATTGATCTGTTTGCACGACCGCATTGCGATGCACCTGATCAACAGCGAGCCCGTGGACGAGCTCAGCCGCCCCAGCGTGCGGCGGGAGAAATGGATGGCCTCGGGCGGGTCTACGCTGGTCGGCGCGCACTACTTCCTGGCGCGCATCCAGGGCCATGCCCACTGGGCCCACCCGCCTGCCCGGGCAAGGGCGCCCTTCCTGAGGGGAGGAGACGTCATGCTGGGGGAGCGCTGGGACAAGGACCTCAAGCGTGTCATCGCCGAGGCCCAGAAGGAGGAGAAGCTCAACTCCCAGGCGGCCCAGGGGCGCTGGAAGGGCTGGATCGACCAGGCCTTTGCAGGGGGAGCGGGTTCAGCGCGCGCCATCTCCAAGGTCCCTGCGCTCCAGGAGGTGGTCCAGGCCAGCGACGGGCATGACCACGACGCGCTGGTGGAGCGCGAGCTGCGACCCTGGGAGGACATCTGGAACTTCCACGGCCTCACGCAAATCGCCCTACCTGCTGACGCTCGCGACTGGGATCCGCTCCCGCCGCTCGCTCACCACGCAGTGCGGGGCGTGATTCGTTCGTTTCCGTGGAGCACGGGGGCTGGGCAATCGGGCATCCCGATAAGGGCGCTGGAGGACATCTCGGACGAGGCAGTCGATGCGATGATCGCGGTCTTCCACAAGTGCGAGGAGCTGCTGCAGTGGCCTAGCAGCCGCCTTCTCAACATCATGGAAAGGCCCCCCTAGCCAGACGGAGGCTGCCGCCTCACTGGGCTCATGCCGACACTTGTCAGGGCGCGGAGCCGCGCGCGCCGCCCAGTCACCAAGGCCTGGAAGCAGGCTAGCCCCTCCTCACTGGCGTGGGGAGTGGGGCCAGGGCGGTCCAGCTCGGACTCGGCGCGCGACCTCAACCTGGCCAAGGAGCAGGCGCAGCTGGCAAGTTGGGACTCGGCGGCGGCGGCCCTGGACCTCTGGAAGGCCTACGAGATGGTGGCGCCCGAGGCCCAGCTGCAGGAGGCTCGCGCCTTGCAGTTCCCGCTGCGCCCCGCGTGGATGCTCTTGCCCACGCGCCGCCAGCCCCGCCCCGCGCGCTGGCAGCATTCAACGCGATGTCGCGGGCGGTGGTGGCGCGGCAGGGGAACATTGCAGGCCGCGGGCACGCCAACTCGCTCCTGCTGGTGCTCACGCTGCGCGCGCTGCAGCGGGCTAACGCCATTGCGCCTTCAGTGCAGCCGCGCGGCGCAGTGGATGACGTCACCCTGGCGTGGACGGGGCCGCGCGCGGGCCACAGCGATGACCTGTCCAAGGCTCTGCCCGGCTTCGCCGCCAGCATTGCGGACCTCAAGCTGGTCATGCAGCCGCTGAAGTCAGGATTCCCGGCGTCTTCGAGGCGGAGGGCCAAGCCGTTGGGGCCCGCGACGCAGCGTCAGGGGCTCAAAGAGAAGACGTGGGTCAGCAACCTGGGGCACGAGCTCTACGGGCGCAGGGTGCTCCGCACGCAGGAGAAAAGACGCCTGGCGGCTTTGATGGGGCGACAGCGGCGCCTGGCCATGCTCAGGAGGGCGGGGCGGGGAGGCGCGCGACCGCCCTGGTGGCCACAGGCCTATCTCCCTCGGCGGGGCATGGCGCAGGGGTGTCGGGCTTGGCGGACAGACCGCCAGCCCAGCTGCGCACCCTGGCGGCCGAGAGGGCTGGGGCCAAGGCTGGGTGCGGTACGGCCGCCGTCATGCTGCTGCAGAAGCGCGTCGACTACGACCCTATATACATGGCCACTGCCCCCCTGGCGATGCGCCTGGCGAGCCGCATCTGGGACGGCAACTGCTCGCTTGCGGCCCTCTCAGCTAGCTGGGGCCGATTGGCGGCCGTGGCCAGAGCGGGCAGCCTCACCTTGGCGATAGCGCACTGTCCCCTAGCGGCGACTTGGCTCCCCCTCGAGCGCATCGGCTGGAGCATGCTTTCGGTCTGCGTGCTCAAGGCGGACACGGGCGACGCCCACTCCCTGCTGCACGCGGCCCCGAGGGGCATCAAGGACGCCTTGGTCGTGGGCATCTAGCGCTGGCAGCGCCGCCGCGCGGTTGGGCACCTCCCAGACGGAGATGGGGAGCAACTCTGGCCTCGCGCGGCAAGGGCCATCGCCCTGCGCGAAGGCGCTGCTCTGAAAGGGCGCGAGCCAGGCACTTTGGTCGGGAGGCCACTATACCAACGAGTGGAGGCACATGCATGGGTTCACGGGCACGGCCGAGTGCCAGGCGCGCGGCGAGCAGCGCGACACGCTGATGCATCGCCGGTGCGTCTGCCCAGAGGTCATGGCGCCGCGCGACGAGGAGCAGGAGCAAGAGGAGCCCTTCCGCAAGCCGTGAGAGGCGATCCGCAAGCAGATGCGCCAGGCGGAGCAGCTCTGGACGGTAGGCGACAGCTACCTGCCCCTGGCGCACGGCCTGCCGTTGATGCCTGCGCTGCCGCCTGCTGCGACATCCGATCGCTCCGTCATCGGCTGGGGCGCGGTGCATACCCCCTGGCCGTCGGTGGTGCACACGGACGGCTCGGGCCGCGCCTCCAAGGCCCCCGAGGCTCGCAGGTGCGGTTGGGCAGTGGTGGCCCTCAAGTCCGACGGCTTCCCGCTCAAGGCGGCCTACGGCCCACTTCCAAGGGCGCGCCCAACCGCGGGGCGGGCAGAGCGCTTCGCCTGCCAGGCGCCCCTGGGACAGCCTGGCAATGTCAGCCTCATCGTCAGCGACCTGCAGTCCCATCGCGACGGAGGGCAACAGCTGGTGCTCCACGGCGGCGCCGACTCGGGCCAGGCACGCGGGCATCTGGAGGCAGGTGCGGGCGGCGGCGGATGCGCGCGGCGAGCCCACGCCGCGGCCCAGGCGGGCCCCTGCCCGCCGCTCGCTGGAGCAGGCGCTCGAGGAGGGCATCAGGCTGCTGGGCTGGCTCGGGAACTGCTGGGCGGATTTCTTCGCCAACTTGGGCGCGGCCGAGGTGAAGCTCCCCGACAGCGCGGCGGAGATCATCCACGCGGAGCTCCAGCGCGCGCTCGACGCGGCCAACTACGCGGGCTGGGCGGCGGCCAAGATCTGCCAGCTGGACCTGTGGAGGCCGCTAGACGAAGACGGCCAGCTCAAGCGCCGCGTCGAGCCGGAGCTTTTTCCAGGCAAGCAACTCAGCCTGACGCGCCACGAGCACCAGACGACGGGAGTCTCGGGCGCCCAGTGCATCCACTGCGGGAGAGGGGCCTGCACCGCCAAGGCTCGGTCCCTGCTCGACTGCAAGCCGCGCCAGCCTACGCGCCTGGGCCAGATGCGCGCGGTCAAGAGCCAGCAGCTGGCAGGGGCCCAGGCCTTGGCTAGCTCTGAGGCCGTCAACCTGAGCCTGCAGGTGGCAACCCAGATCGAAGCGGAGGTCGCTGCAGAGGGCGCGGCCCCCCAAGCCCGCTGCGCCGAGGCCAGGCCGTGCGACGACCTGGCGGACAGCAACCCGCAGTCGCGGCCGCCCGCGGACAAGCCCGCGGACAATGCCACGGTCGCGGAGAAGGTGCAGTACCTACTGAGGGCTGCCACGGGGCGCGCTGCGGCTAGGCGTCTGGTCAGGGCGGCAAGTCGAGATGCGCGCCGACGGAGGCCCCCGCGGAGCCCTGCCCCCCCCCCCCCCCCCCTGCCTGCCCGAGGCCGCAGATCCCAAGCGGCGGCTCGCACGTCGGCCCCGCGCGCGCCAGTGCCGAGGAGGTGGGCGGCGCCTTTGGCGAGCAGGCAGCCGCGCCGCTGGGGGGGCGGACGCCTTCGGACCGCCAGAGCGCTGAGCAGGAGCTGCTGACGCCGTCGGCTGCTAGAACGCAAGTCCCAGCCCCCAGGTGCACCCGCGAAGAAAACAGCGCGAGGGGCTGGGCCAAGTCGCCAAGTTCCTTGCTGGAGCCTGCCTCCTGGCGCACCCGCCAGGTAAACAGCGCGCGGGGCCGGCCGGCCTCGACGAGAGCACCAGGAACGGGCGCCCCCGCAGCTCGAGAGGCCACAGGCAGACCACCAGCGGAGGCCGCGCACTTCCAACTGGGTCATGAGGTGGAGGACCTCTTCAGCGACATCTTCGAGGACACGCAGTGCACTCCACCAGCGACAGGCGCGAAGGCTGGGAAGTCACGCGCAGTGTCCGCGGGCCCTCCGAGTGCCGCGGGCCTCACCTGCGGGGCCGCAGGCGGCGCGAGGAGCGGCAATCACGCCGTTGCTGGAGGGGCAACGCGGGCAGAGCTGCGCGCGACAGGAGGGGCGGCGCGTTGGCCAGGGCGGGGCGGGGGGCAGCTCTGCGAGCACCCTATAGCCCCCCCCCCCAAGCCAGGGGCAACCACGCGACCTCTCCAACGGGAGGACACCAGCGAGGACCAGCATGCTGGAGGAGCGGCGACCTCGCGGAGGGGAGCCGAGTGCTGGCAGCGTGCCAGAGCCGCCTCCGCCGCGCCCACCAGAGGCAGGCAACGACAAGCACGCTCTCCAGGCGTGGGGGCAGGCGGGGCCGCTGGAGGACGTCCTGGCGCAGCTGGCGTCCTGGTGGATCACCGACCTGCGTGACCAAAGCGAAGCCTATGTGAGTTGACTGCAGGAGTGCATCGACAGCGCGTACAGGCTGCTGGGCGAGCCCAGGTTCAGCGGCTTCATCAGGCGCATCAGCGCCGACAGGCTGGGCGCTGAGAAGCAGCGGCGGGCTGGGGAATTCTGCGAGCGGGGCCGGCAGGGCGGGGCCCCTGTCCGCGAGGCCCGCAGCGACCAGGCCCTCGAGCTCGAGGGCGAGGCTTTCAGGCCCCGTGCCCACCAGTTCCGAGGGTACATGGCGACGGGGAGGGCGTTCTTCAGCGACCGTGGCAATGCCCAGCACGCAGGGGCGCGCGACCACCGCCTGCACCCCACCACCTTCGAGCCGCCCTCATCGGAGGCTGAGGAGGACGACTGGATCGACCTCGACGACGGCGACCTGGGGCTCAGCGTGGAGGCCATGAGAGGGCGAGGAGGACATGATGGCTCGCGGAGTCGTGGACGGGGCAACCCGTGGAATC